CAGCAGGTATATCTTTTGGCTCAATTTAGCAACATCTAATTCGGTAACAAATAGGTTAAAAACCCAGAAGCTACCATTTGTTCAAAAAAAAGACAATCCAGCAAACTTACCAGAAGCTCGTACTATAGAGGATTTATGGGCAACGCTTAAGCGGGATGTGTACAAGAATGGATGGTCTACAAATAATATATCAGACCTTGAGCGTCGAATTCGTTATTGTGCCAGTAGACTTGACCTAAATGCTGTACAAAAGCTGGTACAAGGTACCAATACCAGACTTGACCAAATTCGAAGATATGAAGTCTTGTGATAAATTTATTTTATTTTCTTATTCTGCATATTTAATTTTAAGAACATGCCAAAAACAAAATTTTTATCGTGTTTATTTAAGTTTTTATTCAAGTTTAAAGCCAGTTTCAAATTTTATGGCACACGTGTTATATCAACCAATGCTTCTTGTACTTCTTTTATAAACTGTTCAAAATTGTTTATGAAAACATCTAGAGATAATCGCATAACCTTTGTATGTTGTAATGCATTATTAGTAGCCATATTTTTTCGCGGCTGAAAATGTGAAGCTTTGATAACAAGTGATACCAAATTGTTGTAAGCACAACAAATTCATAAGATTTTATTTGTTTTATTAAAAATGCAGCATGAGTTTTACAATCTGGATGGCTATTTTTAAGTTTATCTAGGACAAGACTAAATTTTTTTATCTGGTTTTTAACAGCTTTTATACTTTTAAAGCAATACTCCCATAGAGTATTGCTTTGTGCCTTCAGATTAAATTTTAAATATTTTACTTGAATATCCTATTGCTTTGTTGATGCAGCAAAAATCTTATATGAATTAATAAATGTAGTTAAACAATTTTGACTTTTAATAGTGTTTTTAACATCGTTTTAATATCGTTTATAACTAAATTGGTGTTATGTCCACCACACGGTGTATACCATGCTTTGTTGTTGTCTTCTAAAATTCGACTTTTTACTCCCTTATATTCTTCTTTTATATTGCTTTCGTTGTCATACAACTGACCTCGGCAATCAGCCATCTCGATTCCTAATATTTTTAATACGAATGTTTGCTAAATTTTCTCAGGTTGATAACATTATATTTACAAAGTTAAAGAAACTGTCTTGAACACTTGGCTTTTAGTACGCTATTATAACATACCAAATAATTATGGATGACTGTATTTTTTTGCAAAAATCTGGTGTAGAACTATCATTACATAGAAGTACTTTGATAATTTAATATTATATACTATTGCATGTAAAACTCTAGAAGTTGTTAAAGATAAGTTAAGCTTATCTTTATCGATGAAAACAAACGACAACAGAAGCAGAAACTTTTTCCTGTCAAGTTAGAATATAAAAGCCAATTTCTTAATTCTTCTTCACCATTTTATATTTGTCTGTAAAAAAAGTGTCACTGAAACATCTTCCCTGAGAATTTGTTTATATTGGATTTCTTTAATACTTTTTGGTGACTGCTCTACCAAAAACATCCATTGTTTGTTGACGATTTTTACCATGTTGCAGAATCTAATATATCATAATTGCATTTTGGTTAAGTGCTGTTCTCCATTTACAAATTATCACTAATTTCTGAAGTCTTGTTAGATATAATATCCTCAATATTGACGCTATTGGATCCTGATTCACCATCTACATTCTTGTTCTGGTTATCAATGTTTTGAAGTTGTGGTTCATTCATATTTTCTTCAACATTATTGTTTTCAAATTGAGTTTTTTACCATTAAAACTGCATATTTTGATTAAAGTAGTGACGAATTTTCACCTCGTTTTAAAAATTTATCTAATAACCCAGCAAGGCTATTTAATTCTATTATCCGGATCTGTTTCGCTCTTTTTGGTGCGCCGCTTTCATAACATCTTGTTGACATTTAAGGTAATTAAATGTTATATGTAAATTTAAATTAAACGACAAGTGAGTTTAAATATGTTAACAAAATTGTTTAAAAAAATAAAATAAATAAAATAAATAAAAACTAACAATTTGAAACAATGAAACAGCAGAACTGTTAGATATATTTAAAATATATTTGAAAAATATTATTTTTCAAATTAAATCTTTATCAAATTATTCAATTTTTTTTTTGTTTACAATTAGATTAATTTTTAGATTAAAACTTTACCAAAGCGAAATTTTGAACAGAATTAGATTTTTACTTGAATGGAGTTTCATTTGATTGCGCGTGCAAAATTAGAAAATATTTCTCAAATATAAACTTTAACATCAATCTTTAGTAATTAATAAGTGCTTTGAGATTAAACTTCACAAAGGCTATAAAGATACCATTGAAAAGTATGTTAAAAAACTGCTATTAAAATTTTCAGGACACAAATTATTGAATATGAAGTTAAATTAAAGGTAATATACTTACTTAGCTTTTAGACTTACTTACCTTTTTTTATATTGAAGCATAGGGAACACAGTATATATATATATTCTCTCACAGTATAGACTGTGATGGCATTTGTAAGACTCCTTACAAATGCCATCATATGTATCTGCTTTTCTTATTTTTTTAGATTTTTATTGATATGTAGGTAAATCAATGAAACTCACAATAATATCAGAATGTAGACAATTCCATTTTAACACTAGCAACATAACTTCAACACTAGCAACATAACTTCAACACTAGCAACATAACTTCAACACTAGCAACATAACTTTAACACTAGCAACATAACTTTTGGCTTTGCTGCTACTAATCTTACGCAAACATTATTGAATAAACATTTTGGAGATTTTTTTTACACAAATTGCCTTAAATTTGTTTGTTATGATGTTTACAATATTTATAAGCTAATCAAAAGTAGCAAGAGAACGCTTCAAATTTTCAAAATTATCACATTGTTTCGCCTAACCTTAAAAAATCTTATGCCTAAATGCATCCCATTTAATGTCACGTTTATTTTTAACATAGTTTTCCAACCTGGAGAAATAAATTCAGAACTTTTATGTCTGGGATAAAACTACGACAAAGTGTTTCAAATATACTCGATTGTATCGAATATACTCGATTGTATCAAATATACTCGATTGTATCACAATATCAAATTAACATCACAATTTGTATTATAATGTAAAAAAATAAATATACTCATTTTTTGAATTATTAACAAAAATAGCTTATGACATGTTAACACTATTAATTTATAAAAGTATATTGTTAGTAAATATATAGAGTGGTACATATAGAAATTTTATCAAAAAGTCTACTTTTGCTTCATAGAAAGCTAAATTGCCAACTCTGCTGGTTAGGAGTTTTAGATGACATATCAAAGTGAGGTTTGCTATTCTTTATTTCAAATATGTTTACTATTGAACAAGAAATACACAACAATAATGGTTTATGGTCTGATGAAAAACAACTTTAAAAAATGATAATAATTTTAGTAAATTATCAACAATTTGATATTACGAATTGACTCAATTCAAGTATTTCAAATATAAAATACCGTTTAACAAGTATAAATATAACCAAATATACTATATACTACATATATACTACATATAACATATATACTACATATACATATATACTACATATAACAGTATATACTACATATATACTACATATAACAGTATAAATATAACCAAATATACTATATACTACATTTAGTAAACACTTACAAAAGAGGATCGAAATCAAAAAAACTTAAATATATTATTAATTAAGAAAAAGAAGGAAAATTCCAACTGGGAATAATGAAATTTTCAAAAACTATTTGGTTCTAAAGAAAAGCTTTGCTATATGGTATATGGTATAACTTTTTTTTTTCATATTTAAAACAAAACTGGGATTTTTTCCTTGATTTTTTCATTTATATCTTATTTCATTTAAATTCAATTATAATATAATTAAATATTAACTTCCTTTTGATTAAATACAGCGGAATTGTAAGAAAAAGTTCCCAGATATTGCTTACAAAAACAAGTACAGTTTAAAAGTAAATCAAAACAGTTGTTATTATTTCTGAGATTCATTAAATCTAATTTTATAGTTTTTTTTAAAAAAGATGATCAAATAAAAATAGTTTTAATTATAACATCTTTACAATAAATATCTATTATTTAGTGATACTATTACTTGAATAAATAATCTGACTTTTTCTTATTTATTATAAAGTTTTTGTTTATATATTTCTTAAATTTTTTTTTTTTATTATTAATTTTGTTATTTTCTATTTTTGTTTTTATTTTTTCCCTAGTTTTTCACAATTTTTGTTTTTATATATATTTATATGTTTTGGTAATGTAAAAAAAATTAACTAGAGCATGACGATAAGATTAAATGTGTGTTCTTCTTGTACCAGCTATTAGTTTATGATATAGATGTAACCACTGTCGATATTTTAAAATAACAATAAAAACTAATTTAAAAATGAAAATCAATCAGATTTAATCTAAATCATGTTATTCTTAAATTCTAAACTGCAAACCTAAGTTGTAGAGTATTAAAATTAAATAACGAACTGAAAACTAATCCTTTTCTAAACCCATTTTCATCAAAAACAAAGCTTAAACTATTACTTGTGATAAATGAAAATGAATTAAATTTCTTCCAAAAAGCTTTTTAAATTAGACAATATTTACAATAATAATTAATCAACTTAATAAATACTGTTTTAAAATTAGGTTTTATAATCTCATTTTCAATTTAAATTTGAAATAAAAAATGATAAAAATAAATCTTGTACTATAACAAATAAATGTCAATAATTAACAAAATAATTAACAAAATAATTAAAAAAATAATTAACAAAATAATTAACAAAATAATTAACAATATACTTTAATTTTGATTAACGTTAGAAGTTTTAATTAAATAATTTAATAGTTAACTTATAAAATTAAAAAAAAAAAAACATTTTTTATATACAAAGCTTTTTGTATAATTTTAACTTTATTGTAAAGTAAACAAACTTTATGATAAAGTAAAAAAAAATGTGAAAACTAACCACTTCTAAGTCAATCAATTGTCTGTCAAGAGGGCATAACAATTGTTCATCTATTCTAAAATAAAAAATTTAAATTCATGAAAGTTGTGCATAATTTTTCTATTTTAGAAATAAGTTTCATCTAAAAAAAAATTGTTGTGTAATTAATTAAGTAAAAGTAAAAAGGTGGTACTTTAACTCTAAAAAGTTTCAACTTGTTCTATTTTTTTACTGTTTTTTAATAGAAATTCAATAGTACTTTTTAATTTAAAATAGCATTAATTAACTCCGAACTTGGTTTCTATAATGACACCATAGCAACAACTCAAGACTCACTAAAATATTTTTTTACTTTTTTAATATAGTTTAAATAGTTTTTATTACTTAATTACCTTAATAGCTTTCATATCTTATTTCTTCTTAATTAGACTGTTAATGTTGGACAGGTGATGTCGCCAACATTCATTTTTCCAAAGGTTCTTACTGACCAATACTTTATACCAGATGTTATAGGTTTTGATATTTTGATATCAATTTTTTTACCGAAAATAAACAAGTATGGATCCAAGAGCAGAATTTTTTTTCATGAAGTATTTTGCTTTATACTATCAAGCCAAATGAAAACTTTAGAGGGAAAGTTTGTTTGGATTGTTTTGTTTTTTGTTTGGATAAAAAATATTTAACAACCATAGCTAACCACTGTATGAAAAACAAATCTGGGACATTTGTGATTTACCAATTTGAAACAGTTAATACAACTCATATACTTTTAAATATTTTAGACGTGTTTGTCAACAGGTTCAGTTCAACAACCATCCTGCTCTTTTATAGAAATGCAAAGAGATGACGTCACTTTCGAAAAAAACTAGCATAAGTGTATTTCAATTAACAACTTGATATAAGGGTGATTCCATGTGAAAACATCTAGGGCATGCAACCCTAAGTCTCAGGTTTGGCTGATTTTTAAAGCACTTAAAATTTTAGTAAGTTATGAATATCCTGAAAATTTTATCGTCTAATTTCAATCGGTTTTTTAAGATATAGCTACTTTGAGTTTGCCTCCAACCAAAAAAAATCTGCCATTTTTAAAAATGGTTTTGGTCCTAGTTTCTTTTATATGTGTGTTGGAAAGCTGAAAATTTGTACCTTTACATATTCTGAGCCAACAAATCCAATGAAACAACTTAAAATATTTAAAAACAATACACCTAAAATTTAAAAATTTACCAAAGTTTTACTGGGGCGAGTCTAATCACAAAAATGCAAATATAGTTCGATTTTTTTTTTTAGAAGTTGTCCTGAATAGTTAAATTATAGTTATTACAAAAAATCGGAGAGTGGTTTTTTTTGAAACAAAAATAAAAATATGGTCAAACCTACTTAAATTTATTGCTTAAAAAACAGGTATTTTGATAAATTAGCAAGAAAAAAAATGCGGTAATTTGGCAGTTATGTAACTGACAGTTTTGGCTACATCAAATAATTTTTTAGCTGTTTTGACTAGCTGTTTCTGTTTTCTTTGTAATTTTATAAAATCTGATCCTAAAAAAGTTTTGTTTTAAAGGGGGAGAACTATATAAATGATGTATATTGCAAATTTAGTTTTTTTTTTCAGAGGTTGTATTAAATAGTTTAGTTAGAGTTATTACAAAGAATCAGATTGCAGTCTTTAATCAGAAATAAAAACATCTTCAAATATACTTTAATTTGTTACTTATAAAACATTAGTTTCATACTTATCAAACTTCATTTAATAAACTTAAAAAACAAAGACTCCAAAACAAATAAAGCACTTGGAAAAAAGTTGAAGAAACAAAAGTAATATACAAAATTTGAAAAATCAAAATTCAAAAAAATTAAAATGTATTAGTTATTGTGTTATAATCATTCACATCGATGTTATATGTTTGCTCTGATTTTGTTTTTGGGATAATTAAAAAAATAACAATAAAACTTGACAATGATACCTAACAGATATTATCTATCTGTGGCTAAATGTTTTGAGAAGGACCGTGAGGATCATAAACTTAATTTGAATATCATTTATAGTAATATCTATCTCTGTAACCATGCCTATCCACCAAAAGGAATCGTACTTGCATGCAACATTATCATTTAGGTTTGGCACTTATTACAATTACAAAATCAGACATTACTGCTATTGACAGTATAAATCTGTTAACTCACTGATGTTCGCTTGTTCTTTTAAAACTAATTTCAAATTTTGAAATAGGTATGTAATGATGATAACTTCTGGTACCTGGAACAAATTTTCTTGTTTTAAATTGCTCTTTTAGTTGCTGTTGCCTTACATTAACTGTTTCTTTGATAGTTTAATAAAATATGATTGTGTTTATATTGGTGATGTAAAACTCAAGCATATCTCAAGATATTGCAAGAATTCCATTTTCACTTCTAAGTTTCCTAGCACGTCGTATAAGATGTTCAGAAACTTCAAAATATTCTGAAGCGTATTTTCTAGACCAAGATTTAGGTGTAGGTGTTAATATTTTAATTTTTTTTTAAATGGTTCAACTTTAAGTTTTTCTTTCATTAAAGTTGCCAAATGATCAAGA